CTGGCCATCTTGTAACAAGTTCTGGAACGTTTACACCATCCCTGTTGTAATCCTGGGCTTGTCCCTACAGGAGAGAGCACACAGACATTTTTTCCTTCCCTGGAGAGCACCAAGAAGCTGCTAGTATGCTTCCTCACTTCACACAGCTACTAGGATCTCAACATCCTCAAGGCTCCTGCTTCTACTGTCCAGTTGCTCAATGGTTTCAAAAATCTAGGGGAGAGCAAGGAGCAGAGAAACACAGGATTTGATTGAAATCAGCCCAGGGAAAGCCTGCCCCATCTAGTTCTATCAGTACACACTAAGAACTTACTTGAAACCTGCTCTTCAAACAGGGAATATGATAACAGTGTCTGAAGGCAAGGTCCCAGTCATATGGGCAGAGTACCTTTGATGCATCTGTGGTTGCTCTCTGGGCTGTTCAGTAAGGAAAATTTGTGTTGATGTGTAGAGAAATCATGCACAAAGGACTAGAGTTAGCAATGGACTTGGTCCAGAATGAGGTCACTGAGTATGGGGAGGAGTATTTACTTGGTGCAACCACAAAAGCCAGTGCTCCAAGTGGCAAACAGGCCAGGGTCTATTTTTTTCCTGAGGAAAGAAGCAGATTGTGAACAGTGAAAGAGGAGGACTGGAAGTAAAACTTTGTATTCTATTTCTTCATGCAGAAGTGGCAAAGACAGCTGTGGCTTTACCACCAGCACGTCGTTGCTCTCTCTGCCCTTTTCTCATCTGGTGGGCAGCTTGATGGGTCCATTGCACAGCTCTGTCCAATTTGGCATTTTTTCCCCACCTGGAAGTGTACCACTTTTGCCTTATATCTGTACCCTGCATGATCTTAAACATTTAATTATGACTCACCATTGACACCTCAACAAATAAAATTCTCTCAGTTAAAACTGTACAGAGCATCCATTGGCCAGCTGGTGTGAAAAATACCAGCTCTTCCCAGTCTAGGAGCTGGGAAGAACTCACCGTGCTCCTGTGAGTAATGGTCTTATGGCAGGATCTGCTTCTGCCCATCCCAGATAAACCATTCCCCAAATGTGACACTAATACAGTTCTCACTGGTTTCTTCATGTGTAAGAAAAAATTATTTAAAGCAATGCATTGCACAAACAAATTAATATTTAGTGACTGCTCTGCCACTTTCAGGGTGGACGAGGGATCCAACCTACCTGACCCTAACTGAGGCTTTAGTGACCTTTGCTGTCTAATCTAGTTTTTAATTCCTGATCAAATACTCTTTTACTTTTTTTGTGTTTCACAAGTACATTTCCTTTTAATATCAAACCCACATTTGACCGTAGGAGGTAGTTTATATTTGATCAAGGATTTCTGCATTTATATACACTGGAAATACAGTGGATTTGCTAGCATGATGCCCTGTGAGTCCTTCCAACAGCAATGCACAATAGCTACAAATGGTGAAGCTGTGATTCCACACTTTAAGTGAAGACATCTCACTTTCCCCTGCTTCATCCCTTCAGCTCCTCTGTATTAATTTCCACATGTAAGATATGCAGAGCCTTCTGGGCTGTAGAGGCTTGGCTCCAGTTAAATCTCCCAGGTGGTTTTTACAGTGAGTAAGTGTGGTCCTAAGTGGGCCCTCCATTTCCAGAGCTCAAGACTCATCATGCCCTGAGAACACACTTGCTGGCCCATTTGATAGCTACCTGAAACCACCACCCCAGAGCATCTGTACAAACTCCATAGACACACAGGAGCGTTTCCCAGAGACTGTCCTTCAGGAACAGTCTGAGGAGCTATCACAAATAGCAGGTAGATGCTGCTGTAAAATGCAGGATATCTGGGTCTCGACTGGCTAAAAGTCTCTTGATACATGTAAAGAGTTGGAATGAAATCCCAGCAGCCGAGCAGCATACACCATTCCGTCACACCCCAGCTCAGATTCAAACCTTGCTCCATCCCTCCAGAGCAGCTGCTCTGCAACGTGTCAGTCCTTAGATTTGAATGTAAGCAACAAACAACAACTAAAACGCTTAAAGTTAATAAGTTCACAAAGTTTTGACCCAGACTGCTTTATAAAATCAAAGCATGCAATGATTTCTTAAGTTGTAATTAAAAATTATACCCCCAAAAAGACTGTAGTGATGAGTCCTGGTCCTTCAGAGAACGACAGCAGTTCCCCAGAGAGGGCTGGAGATTAGCAAACACATTTCACATGACAGCTTTTAATATAATTATTTGCATAACTGGATTAAAGAAGCGAACCAACGTGCCTCTAAATCTTATTATTGTTTATTACCCTGGATATCAGAGAAAACAGTAATTACAGTAGACAGAGATTCTTGGGGCTTGGTTCAGTGAGTGAATGTGGTTGTGTCCACACTTGTTCCCCCTAGCCTGGGGTGGGGCTCAGGGCTGGACTCCTTTGTGCACCACGCAGGGGAAGCCTGGAAAAATGGCCTTGCAGGACCACTGAGGTGGGCCAAGGGGGCTGCTGAGGAGAGAGAAAGAGCTTCAGGAGCCCACGGCTGGAGAACGCATCATTTCAGGGTGCATCTGCAAAACCTAGCCCTGAGAAGGGCCTGAAGCAAGGGACAGACTGAGCTTTCTGCTGTCAGCACAAACGCTGACAGCTTCAAGGCATGTGCAGGTTAAATCAGCACTTAAATGAGAGTTCCTGCTGTGCTGGGCAGTCAGGACCTCCTTGAGGTGACAGACCTCAGCCCTGCTGTAAGCACAGCTCCAGGGGCTGCTGGTACCGAGACGTTCCGGGTGCATCTGTCACTGTGGGGAGAGCATGTGTGTGGAACTGCCTTTCACTTCTGTCACTTGGGGAAAAAGAAAAGAAAAAAAAAAGAGAGAAATCCAAGCTCTTGTTTGCTTCGTGCAGCTCTCTGCAGCAGGCATCTGTAGTCACTAACGTTCAAGAGCACATTAATAAGCCAAATTGCAGTGCTGGGAAATGAGGGTAAAAACATGATCCCAGGCCTGCTGTGGTTAACAAGAGTCTTCCCAGTTACTCCGCTGGGTTTTGGATCACTCTGGGTTACAGCTGTCTGTGTTTAGTGCCTCAGGTTGTAAACACTATGGGCCAATTCAGTGCTAATTAACATTTACAAACTACACAAATTAACAGCTTGAAGTAACATAATTCTGTAGAAGAAAAATCTCTAAAAATCAGGATTTTTATTTAACTTAAAGTTGCTTTTTGCAGTGTTGTTTCAGTCTTCTCTTAGTGTCCTACTCTCTGTTCTCTTCCAGAGTCCTGAAACAAAAGTTGAAAAGCTTATAAAATTTGGTTGGTTTCTTTGGATGTTTTTTTTCCCCTTCCTTTTCAAAATCACCATTTCTGTCAGTAACTCACCATATTGAGCTTGACAAAAAAAACCAATTTCCTAAAATTCTGCAAAAGCAAAACATGCTTTAATAGAGCACTCAAATCTTTTAACTCACAGCAAGCAAAGCAGATACATTTGCTCACAGAGTGAACAAAAATAATGCCCACTTTAGAAGGACCTTCTTGATTTAGTATCTCTGTAATCAGCTCCTAGTATGCAGTTTCTCATTACCAGCAGCAGAACAGCTCGAAATTCTAAGGAAATTTGTGAAAAGGGATTTCAGATGTTTTTCCAATGCTTTTCCCAGTGTGTGCTTATGCATGTGTATTTTTTTTAACCAGATTAATCTTACTGAACATTGATGAGCAAAGTGACATTCACAGTTTCACAGTAGGAGCGCATTTTCAAACTAGAAGAACCATACTCCCTTTCTTCCCTCTCCCCTCTTGTCTATTTACATGGCCTCACAGAACTTCATTTTCTGGCCATGTGCAGTTGCAGCTGGACAGATGTCCTTGCTGACCATGGCCAAAACCACCCCTGAATTGTGCTTCTCTGGCTGATCTCAGCTCAGTATCAGGCAGCAACTCATTCTATCCCAGACTGTGGCTGAGCAGGCTGGGAGGAATCTCTTCAGAAACCATGCCTGCTTTCAGAACTTTGTCCCATATACTTATCCATTATCTCAGGTATTTTCAGTTCAGGAAGAAAGAAACTAGAAGCCATTAGGCTGATTATAGCTTCTAACTCCCTCATCTGATTGAAAGGTGAATGCCAAAGGAAATTGTTTCTCCCCTAAAGACTCCTTCAAAAGAGAACACTTGTCACTGCACTCCATTTGACAGGTCTCTCTTTGACAGGTCACACAATACTTATACACAGCTCAATGTCAACAGCTCATTCCTCCTGCTGTCTCTTAACAGACACCTCCAGAAGTGCCCCTGAGGACATTATCTCTTTCTGGAGATCAAAACTGATGGAATCATTGCCACACCTCAGAATGGGTTTCTCAAGGAATGAGTGGAAAGCATCTCAGCACTGACAAGTACAACTACAACATCCATCCCTCTGGCTGGGAATGCAGCCACCCCGCAGGAGGGTCAGCGAATTTGGGCTAGAAAAGACAATGGCAGGAACACAATTTGGTGTCAGTAAAGTTGTGGTATGCTTCAACATCCCCCCATGTGGATGTGTTTCCACCACACACTGTGTTTCCAATCTACCCACCCGTGATGGCAGCATCAGCAAATTCACCAGGTGCCTCTACAGCCAGGCTGCCAGCCACTCTGCATCACCGTTGCACCTCACAGAAATAACATCACTTAGGTTTTATTTCCCCTTTTGCAGTACTGCACCTCACCTTGCTACACCCTGTGCTGCAGGGTCACGAGACACAGGAGGTTTGGGATTGCATGAGGATGCTGGGTACTGCCAGCAATATCCAGGTAGGAAGGATCCCTGTAGCTTACATAAGGATGTCTTATTATGCTGACGTCTCCTTGGCCTCTAACTCCTGTCAAAGTAGTAAAGACATTTCTGGGACGTCTGCCTCTCCTTCTCCAGCAGGAGTGGAGGTGCTGGGGATGCTACACACGGGACCTGTGTTGTTCTAGCTGAGCCCTGAGACCACATGTCAGGAATCAGGACTAATTAGAAGTAGAAAAGACTTACAGTGTTAGCACAGGAAGGAAGTGTACTCTCATCAGCCCTTGTTTACAGCACCACACTGGCCATAATGCAGTTTGTAGTGGGTCCAATTTTCTTCTTTCTCCAGGCAAACATTTTCTTCAGCTCCCCCCTGAAGCTGTCGTGGAGCCAGGCATAAAGGAAGGCATTAGTACAAGCAGACATCATTGCAAACCAGTGGCACAGCAGCTGGATGAAGTTGAAGTACTGCTTGTCGATCAAGCTGATGTCTATGTCCTTTATCATGTTGAAGATGTGCAGAGGCAGCCAGCAGACCCCAAAGGCTGCCACCACTAAGACTAGCAAGCGAAAAGTCTTCCTCCTCCTTGCTCGGTCCCACTCAGCTTGGCCCTGGGTGACATTGCCTGGGACTACACGGTTCTTCAGCTTGACTGAGATTCTCAGGTAGGACAGGGAGATGACAGCCAAAGGCAGTATGTAGGTGATGATGAGAGTGCTGTAGGCATAAGCTAAGCGGTCTCTTTTCTTGTGGAACCAAAACTCCTCGCAGATGGAGAAGTCCAGTTCTGGGAACTCCGCGTGGTAAGTGTGGACCAAGGCTGGTGCAGCCAAGGTGCAGCTCAGCAGCCAAATAGCAGCCAGGATGTAAGCACAAATGGGGATTGTGAGCCTCCTGCGGAAGGGGTGCACCATGGCACAGTACCTGTCCACAGCTATGACAGTCAGGGTAAAGACAGACACGAACACAGTGACGGGCTGCATCAGGAACACAAAGTAGCACATGAAGCGCCCGTACACCCACCCTCTGGGCTCAAAGGCATAAGCAAGTGTCAGGGGCACGCAGGTTGCACACATGAGCATGTCTGAGAAAGCCAGGTTGCCTACCAGGAAGTTGGTGACGTTGTGCATTTTTTTCGTCTTGCAGATGACATAAATGAGAAGGTAATTCCCAATCACCCCGATAAAAACCACTAGCGAGTAGCAGGGGATGATCAGCGGCTTGAAGGTCTGAACAAACTGGAGCCCTGAGAATAAATTGCTGGCGTTGCTGTGAATGGCAGAGAGGAAGCTCCGGGAGGTTAAATTGTCCGAATTCATCGCTTCCCTCCTTTTGTCGGCGGCCGTCAGCTGGGGGAAGTAGCTCCCACTGCACTACTCCTGCACTCAATCAGCGTGGGTAATGAATGGATTACTGGCTGCCCAGAGGTGACCACATGGATAGCAAACAAGCCTCCGTAAAAGCAAAAGGCGAAGTTGTAATCCTTGAGAGGCAGCTTTCAGCAGTTCCTACGGAAAATCAAACACAACCGATTTCCATTAAAGTCCTCCTGTATTGACTATTAAATCTGGGGTTTGACAGCATGCCACTTAATAAACATTTAATGCAGTGAGTACTTACTGCTGTGGTTGTCTAATCCCATATGATTTTCCTGTGGATGCCAAGAAGTGCCCTAGATGTCTGTCCTCTGCAAATCCAGGAGCGTGTGTGTGTGTGTCAGAGAGAGAGGGGGAGAGAACAAATGAGTGAGAAAGGGTGATGCGCATTTACCAGCTAAGTGGAGATCAGTGTTTTTAAACAGTCTTCACTACTAGGTCATGACAGATTTGTGTGTAAGCTTTTCTCCCTATTGGCCATCCTGGGTATTACGTTGTTCTTTGCGTGTTTCTTACTGACAGTAATTAGTTTTTGAATATCCTTTCAAAAATTCCCTTCTTCTTCCAGTGCACCTATAATTGCCCCTCACAGCTAAAAATCAATTTACATTCATTAACACTGGCTTGCACCCTATCTAATCCAATATTCACTTTGCCACAGCCCTTAGAGTGTCCAAAAAAAAAACCTACCTGGGAATTTGCTGCTATAATGTGGCTGTAAAATAGAATTTTAATAACAGGCAGAAACCAAATAAATGTTTGTGCCACTAGAGGGACTCAGCTACGTACCTGGTGAAGGAAGTTAGGCTTAGAAATGTGTATTTAGCAGGTAGCGCAAAGGATATTATTTTATTTAATTTTATTTTCTAATGGTGGTGTAATGTTTGCTCAACCACTGTGACTATTTTCAGTGGGGTTTATACATCTTTAAGAGCAAAGACATGAGAGCATCTCAAAGGAAACATCAGCAAACTGTTTCTAATATTGCAGCTGTCCAAAAATATTTGGGGTGTTTCTTCATTCCTGCAGTATGTTTGTCAACTTTTTCTGTACCAGACAAGTGCTAACCAGTCTGTGAAACACTCTATACTTGCCTTATTTGATTCAGACATCAGAAAGCAAGAAATCAGGGTAAGTGCTTACAGAATACCCATTTAAGCAGAAATCCCCATCCTGCTTTTGCCTTTTGCTCTAATTCTCCCTTAACTCTCTGTTTCAACCAGTTCTGGGAACAGGATCTTTGCTGGTAAAAAAGAGTGAAACACCACTGTATCCATTTGTACCAGCTAAGGGAACTAAAAAATAAATGACACAACATAAAAAGTTCTCAATATTTCAGAGCAGAGAACATTATTAGGTTTTTAATTGTACTGAGAGGATTTAGACACAATTTCAGTGGACATTTTATGTCCTAATCTCTTAGACTACTCTAAGGAAATATTAACCCATTATTTTCTGTGGGGCTATGGGCAGGACCATATCCTTCTTTTGATTTGGTGTAACTTGACATAAACCAAAAGGTTTAATACATTTCATTTGTATCATAAGCCTTTCCCTGATCCTAAACCAGAAGCTAATCTTGTGTAGCCTTTGTTCAGACCAGAATCATTCTCCCACCACTACTTATCACAGTTGGGCATTTCAAACAGAGTAAGGGCTCTGTGCTGCTGCATTCAGGTCTAGGTTCAGCTCTGGACTGGAATAGGACTATAATTCCAGCCCAAGGGGAGAACCAGCGTGTAGCCACCTTGCTCAGGAGTGCCATCCTTCCCTGCATGGATGTAGTCACCTGCCCATGACCCATATGAAAATACAGGATGTTGTATTCACTTCAGAGTCCAATCTCTGAACGGTGGGACCCGGAGGAATCTGGTACCTATTCACCTCCACGTACCCAAATCCAGAACAGGAGAGGGACCTGAGGGCAGAGGCTGCAGAGAGTCTTTCACCACACAGTGCAGCTGTACTGTTTGGTTATAAGCAACGTGCTGCAACAGAAATTCCTAAAACCCATAAACGCCTTTTTTCTCTTAATGTGGGAGAAAAGTATGGTCTGATTTAAATCCTACTGAAGCAGGATTGCAGTTGGCTTTGGACATAAACCAAAAGACACAGAAAAATGAATGGGAAGTATATGTATATGGCCTTCACATTGCCCACATTCTGCTGGAATTGTAAGGCTTATTCTAGGAAAGAATCCTCAATGTAATATCACTGCACAATTTGAAAACTGAAAATCACATCACATTTTTAACTAAGTGATTTTTTCTGAATCATTCCCAAGAGCTGCAGAGTCGATACAATAAATACCTTCATTGTGTTCCTATAAGAAAATTATTTACACTTTGGTATGTAAGAATGAAAATCAAAGAAAATATAGTTTAAAGTAGCCTTCAAGGTCACCTTAATGCTCAGGTCACAAAAAGCTGCAAGTAACCTTAGAGGTTCTTTTATTTCAAGCTGTACCAAGCAATACACCTGCATTTTATCTTACCCTTAAAATGTGTTTTTTTCACCTCTGACACTTGTTACCAGTATACTTTCTGTTTGAAAGCTCCCACCCTATTTCTAATAGTCATTTTCTGTTTGTTTTGGCTTCAGGCAGAAAATTTCTTCTCTTCAGCTGTACTCTGCAACTGAGAGCTGGAAAGATAATATTTAGCAGGGGCTTGAATAGAAAAAGTATTTCAGCATTTTACCCCAAAGAAATTCCCTTTCCTCCTTTTAAGACTGCAAATATTACTCTTGCTTAGGCTAGGTGACAAAGCCCTCCCTGAACGGAGTATGTGTCTATTTCACATACAGAATTTTCTCATTAAAAGAGAAAAGGTCACTGAAACTGCATTACTGTCATGTTAGGACTGTTTTGACATTCCAAGTGTACAAGGGTGTCACACGGAGGAATGGTGATTAGTGTCTAGTTGAAAGTCTGGTCTTCTTTGAGTCAAAGGAGAATGTTATATCCAGATTCAGACCAACACCTCACAGAAGCATTCCACAGCAGAGCTTTCACCATCTCTCGTGCTAACCTGTCCAACTCAGTGCAGACACTATGGGTACAAACACTGTAAGCTACTGTGTGACTCTCAGAAAGGGGTAAACATCATGGAGCACTAACACTATTCCTTATGTGCATATCTATTGATCCTTGTAGCTCCAAGATAAAGCAACATGATCCAGGAATTAGATCCTAGCAGCTATACTTGCAAAACTGATCAGTACTTTTTAGGCTGGCAGTCCCTCTCTTCTATTATTTAGACTCTACAGACCAAAAACATTTTCTTCTGCCATTAAAGTCTCACAGTTTCAGTTTTCTATATCCTTCTTTGTTTGATATGTGTCTTTTTCTGTAAAGCACAACTCCTTTTGCATCCCAGCACTCCTTTAAAAAGTCTTTCACATTCTTCTAGGAATGTTCTGTGCAAAGCAAATCAAGTAGTTCTGGCAGAGCCTACAATAAAAATAGACACTTTGACTCTTTTGAATGAAGTAGAGCTGGAAGTTCCTTTAGCAAATTCCTCTTTTGACCAGCCAGAGGACAATGCTGTGTACCCCGCAATAATTTCAGGACAGAGCAGCCTGTCCCTCCTTCTTTCATTTAATAATATAAATGCATCCTGTCTGCCCCTGCTGGGAGGTGAGACATCACAGTCTCCAAGCTCTAGAAATGTGTTCATAACTAAGAGGTTTATATGGTTGGCTTGCAGGTTTTTGGTTGTTGCTGCCTTTCTCAAATTCAAGGTATAAATCTTCGATAAACTCAGAATTCATTTTAAATTAATCCATTTAAGCTGAAGAGGAGTTTAACAACTTGAATGAAGAGGAGACTTGAATGTGTGTCAAAACATGCTTGAGATTGCATACTAAATACAGAATAGGGGCTCTACTCTTTCCTGTATTCGCAGAATACTTAGTCTGCTGAACAAAGTGAGATGAGAAAAGCAAGCTGGTTCCTTAGATGACAAAGACCTTGTGCTAAAATAAAGAGAAGAGTGTAAAAACTGAGGAAAAATACAAGCTGTTTCCTGGGAATGAAGGTGCTTCTTCACAATTACCACAACAAAGTAAAAGCCAAAGGTAGAAGTGAGTAAACTCATACTGTCAGGGCTCCACCTGTCTTTGTGGCATGGGAACACAACTCTGTGACTGAAAAAAAGCCAATGGGTCACCTGCCCTAAAGAACAGGAAGGGAGGAGATGTGATGAGGAAGTGGAGGCCCTTTAGTCTAACAGTTTTACTATAGGCTTTAATCCAGACTTCAGGACAGAGGAAGGAGACAGAGAGGAGACCCAATTTGGTATCAAAGTAAGCTTTTGTCAAATTAACCTTTCATCTCTGTTATTACACTGATTTCTCTCAATGTAGGATATGTGGTAGTTCTCAGTTTGGGTTTGCATAACACGTGATGTGGCACGTAACATATGAGAATCCATCATCTATCCCAGAGTAAATATGCTGAGAGCTGTGGTGTAGGTAAGGAACAGCAACATTTATGAAGGAATTGGACCAGAAGACAGCAGCTATTCATGCTCCTCAAACACCTTGCATGGGACTGACCAGCCTCGGTAGCTCTTTTCATTTTATTATGTTAGCACAAAAAGCAGGAGCACACTCACTGAATCTGACAGAACCAACAAGTTTGGAACCAGAGACAATGTGGTGTATAAGTGCAGAATTACACAGAGAAACTTTGCAAACCTCAAGAAGAGTGAGATGAAGATGTAATGAAATTCCTCTTTACAGAGGAATAACTTGTCATAAAGGACCAGATCAAGTCACCTGGTAATAAACATTTTCACTCTGGCTTGTGATGGAGTAAATCCTGTTGTAGGTCTGTACAAAGGAGCAGGCAGCATGTTTGAAAGTGGAAGGAGAAGAAAATCTCTGACTTTGTGACAGATTCCAGATTCTACTTTGTTACAACCTCTGGACAATTTTCTTGCTGTAAGTGTCTATTCACTACAGCAGAATGCAC